ACCGCGCCCAGCCAAGAAACACTCTTATACTGCCCAAACTCTGTAAGAGATTGTTATCTAAAGTGAGTTAAGTCAAATTTAACTCTTTTTCAAATAAATGCAATACATAACTTTAAAACTGCACTTTGTATATTGATATCATTTGAGAAATTGAGAAAGATGTATTGTGCTAATTACATAAGTACTCAGAAACTTTGAGGGCTGTACTGCGTTTTTTAAGTCAGCAATTCTTCATTTTTTATGCATGTTGTATGAGAGGTAAATAATCTTTTGGCTCATTGTTAATCAGCAAAATATTAGCTAGGCAACTCCCACTATAGGAGATACCAGATGTGTTGGGGCTGTTTATAAAACTTAAATTGAAATCAGCTTTTAAGGAAAAAATTTAGCTTATAGATTCTTGTATGTACCCCTACATGTATTACCTAGACATTGCTTTAAATGGATCTTATTTGATATAGGGGCTACTAAATCAGCAGTATCATAAATTTAACTTTGTCACTATAATCAGATATACTTTTTACTCTTGTTTTTCCTCTCCCCTTTATAACCACTGCCATGGATAATGACATCAGGCCTTAATGTTTTAGTCATTGGATTAAAGCCTGTAAATTAGTATTGAATGCAAACAGAAAGATTAAGATGGTCACTGTCAATGTTACTAAGCATTTGCCTGAATGCTATTGTAATTCCTACCCATGGGACACTCCAGAAGTACATTTCTAGAGGTCAGTGTGATGAGACCAGGAAAATCATGATTACCCACTTTTCCCCATTTGGATTAACATAAAGTCTTATAGATTAACATAGACAAGTAAACATTATTAATTACCTTAATACTAACCAGTGAATGCAATGTATTTTAATAGAGTTTATACATAGTAAATGCCTATCAGTTCCAAGCTTGATGCTAAGAACTCCATGAATGTTATTTAGTTTTTCAAAACAATTCTGTCAGTGTGGTATCATCATTGAAACTGAGGCTTTGAGAGATTCAATAACTTGCACAAGATGACCCATTTACAAGGGATTTGTACTTGCCCATCTGATTCCAAAGCCTGATCTCTTTATCATTACCATGTACTAGTAAGAGTAACCATATATCAAGTGACTTTTCGTCATTTTGGGCAGAAAGTTATATTAGTATCTGCTAGTAACATGAATATTTTTTTAAAGAATGAGGGATAGCGTGTGTGGGTGTTTTTAAAATTGGCTGACAGTGATCTATAGACCATATGAGCTGGAATTCCTTTATCAATACCATGCAATTCTATACCTGAAGACTAATTTAAAGACAGGAGGACTCTATGTACATATTTAAATTCATCAGGGACCCTTAAACATCTTTGCAGTATCACAAATCACTTAGCTCTTAGTGACAAACCCATGAGAAGGCTGACATTTTCATACAGAAACAGCTGGGTGTGTTTATAGCTGGAGTGTGATATGCCCTAGTTGCCCTCTGGGATTCTTACATTACCAGATGAAAAATGTGTACCTTTTTGACAATCAGGTACACAGAAAGCAATAAAAAGCCTTTTATATCCATTAATTCCTTCTTAATTTAATCTCCATGCCCAATCCATTTGCAAAATGCTCCAGGCTATCCAATAGATACCTGTTTGCACACTGAAAAGGGGTGAAACTAAATTCTCCTGGGTTTAACTACCACCCTTTTAATCAGAAACCTTAAGACGGTGACTAAACAAGTATAATGTTCCAGTGTGTCAATGGGGTTCACATTTTAAAAAGACAAGAAATGTGCAACAATCCAATTTTTAATGGGATACTTATCTTTTTTTTATTCATCAAAGCTCCCATGAATTTAGCAAAATACTATTGCTGCCCATCTGACAATATATTGTTGTTTATTGGTGATTTTGTTATTGTAAAAGCATTTGATGAAATCCAGTAAGAGAAAAACATCACTTTACCATTCAGTGCTCAGTTTCCTTGCTTTCAACAATTGACGTTCAATCCAGTTGGGCTTCTGCTGCTCAATGCTCTGTATGACCTTTTGGATCATTTGATTAGGGATACTTGTCTGGTCTCCCATGATGCTCTCCAAACACATACAAATTAAACCCAGTTTTTCTTTACTCCATCTGTCAAGGGAGGCACCTGTTAAAAGTTCCACAGTGTTTCCGTCCTCAAATATCCGACATATAATTACAATCAAGTTCCAGACAAGCAGACCAGCTTTCTTCAATTCAACAAAGTTTTTTGACATTTTTCTCTCAGACAGAAAAAAGAAGTATTTAATTGGGGGAGGCAAACATGCAATCACTGTAGGTAACTTGCTGATTACAATAGATACTGCCTGAGCAGCAAGCCTTGTGAAGCCTGGGGAAGAAAAGAAAAGGTATGATTAATATTAGCATTTGTGTTCAATCATTGCATGGTTTTGTGTTGTATAAAGATGTCTAATTTTTGTGGAGAAAATTGGCAAGAAGATCAAGTGCTTGACATATTCCAACAGAACTTTAACTGGGGTCTCTGGCAGTACTACCTAAAGTTCCCCCAAATCACAAATCCGGGTTTTTTTTTCTCTCATAAATGAAGATTAGAAAATTTAGACTCATAATTTGTATTCTTTCAAGACTGCAGCTTTCCAGGACCCATGTGGCCTCCTAATTAACAAATACAAAGGTTCCCAGCTGGGCAACTTTGTAGGCTTTGATACTTCTGACTCCCCCTTAAGCCCTTCTCCCTTGGAATCCATGACAGAATCATTCCAGCTCTCCTCAGGACTGGTTTCTCTCCTTTCAGTTCTCAACCCAAATGTTACTTCCTCAGACAGCCTTGCCTCACCATCTTATCTTATCTCATCTTGTCATCCTCTCAGTCCATTTACACCCTTCCATCACAGTCCCAAGACCCTCTCTTTCAGGGATCCCCATTTTGTTGCCTTTATTATAGCATTCCCCATCATCTAATAATTACGTCCTTTTCCTGCACACTGTATGTCACCCTCTTCTGAACTATAAGCTCTTAGAAGGCATTCCCATATCCCTAGCACTTAGTACCTCATATATAATAGTTGTCAATAAATATTGGTTGAATGAATGAGTCAGTAAATTGTTTCCTGCTTACCTCTATCTCTCCTCTTTGCTTCTTTGTGTCCTATGCTATTTCCACTTTCTACTAACACTTCTTAGATGTAGATTTTTGCTGAGACGTCCTTAGCCTTTTGGCTGATGATTCTCCCTTGTTTGGTGCTATTTCACATTTATGATCTTATTTAATGCAACAGCCTTAGGAGATTATTCAAATATGTGTTGGACCTAGTTTTTACACACTTATAAAGACTGTTCCAATTAATTTTTAAATGATTCTTAGGTTGTCATGAATTGCGGAGGAGTCACTAGATTAGACATATTTTCCAAGAAAAATGTATTAATTCTTCTTCTCTATATCAGGGTTTCTCAACTTCAGCACTATTGCCATTTTGGACTGGATGATCCTTTGTTGTGAAGAGCTGTTCTATGTTCTGTAGGGTGTTCAGCTGCATCTCTGGCCTCCACCCACTAGATGTCAGTAGCATCCCCCTCAGTGGTGACAACCAAAAATGTCCTCAGGCATTGCCAAATGTCCCCTGGGAACAAAACTGTCTGGTTGAGAACCACTCTTCTATATGATTCCAGAATCTTAAGTCTTGGCCTTTCTCCAGAATTGTAGTCCTGTAACTCCAGCTTTCTGTTAAGCATTTCACTTCTGTGTCCTCATCACCGTCAACTCAATATAACTAAAACCAAATTTCATTGTCTTCCAAACTAGCTTGGCCCTTCTCCCTCCCTCCCACCCTTTCCTCCTTTCTTCCTTCATTCCTTCCTCTCTCCCTCCCTCCCTTCTTCCTCACTACTCTCCTTCCTCACCTCCTCCCTCCCGTTCTTCCTTCCTGTTAAATATTCCTGTTGATCCTTGATACCTAGTCAGTGATCAGCATTGATATACAGTTCTGCCCCTTTATCTCTGCCATCCAGTTTCTCATTGCTGGGGCCAGCTGAGGTTACTGACCTACCTCAAGCCCTTCTTCACACATGGTACCTTGACTATGGAAGTATTCTCCTAACTCATCTCCCTTCTCCAGGCTATGTCCAGCCCTTCTCCTGCACTGTAAAACTGAATTCATCCCTATGAACTGTATTATCCAATTTCCCTGCTGTGATAATTTTAGCTACTTACCACTGTTATAAGATCAGTCTCAGTCTCTTGGGCCTTGCTGTGAAAACACTCCGCAGTCTAGCCTCAGCCTGTTTCTATGATCCTTCTCTTTAAGACCTTTAACATGCTTTATCCTCTTTGCTTTTAGGCTTCTGAGTACGTCATTACTCTCAATGGAATGCCCTCTGTCTTCAGGGTTCACAAATAATCTTCAACTCTTAGTTCAAAGTCCTCTCCCCTCTTGTGAATTTATTTGAATATATTCTATATATGACCATTTTGGTAATTAGGTCCATAATTGGCTATGTTATTTTTGTATTATCATCTGTTTTATTTATATTATGTTATTTATATATTCATGAGTTGTCTTTACAGCTAGCCTATAAACTCCAGAGCACGGGAAACAAAGCTCTTAGCTCCTTGATTATCCCACAAAGCCAGACAGTGTTTTAATCCACTATGTACATAATGGAATTTGAACATTAAAACTGAATGAGAAGCCAAAAGAAAGTAGCTCTGAATTCTTTGGTAAAACATTCTTTACTGTGTTTGCTGAACAAAAATAACAGAACAATGTGAACATTTTCTGAAGATATGTGTAACATTTAAAAAGTCACTCTGTTCCAAAAAAGTACAAAGCTCTTGGAAAATATGTCTAATCTAGTGACTCCTCTGCAATCCATGACAACTTAAGAATCATTTTAAAAATTAATTGGAGCAGTCTTTATAAGTTTGTAAAAACTAGGTCCAACACATATTTGAATAATCTCCTCAGGCTCTTGCATTAAATAAGATCATTAATGTGAAAGCACCTAGCTCAGCACCTGATAAAAATAGTTGCTCAATAAATGTTTTCTTTTTATTCAAATTAATGTGTTTAGGTGAGGCTTAAAATATAGATAAAGCAACTCTTCCTTAGTGTTCTTAAATTATTTGAAATGTCTCATTGTTCTTTATGTGTTTGTGTCTCGTAGTCCCTATTCTGCTGTCAGGTCTTTGACTTGAAAGATTGTATCTTGTATTCCCTCTGTCTTATTTTTTATTTATTTATTTTTTTGTTGAGACGGAGTCTTGCTCTGTC